GACAAGCTACCCCCGAGGCCATTGCTAAGTATCATTCCCGTCGTGAGTCTAACTTTGCACATGTAGATCATCCCGAAGATGCTACTACATCCATGGAGATATCATATTTTCATGAGGCATCAACTCATGTGGACGAATAAATTTTAGATATGTTTTAGGGTGTTTTACCCCTAGTGGTTGAACCCACTAGGAGTGGTCGAACCCTCCCCTATATTTTTCTAGGTTTATGCTTTAATTTTGGACAATTTTTTAAGTATTTGGAATAATTTGTTTGGTTTTGGTTTGTTTTGAACTATGGATTGTTATGTTATGGATATTATTTCTCGAATTGATTAATTGGATGAATTGATTTATATTTATGCATGTGACCAATTCAATCAATTTATTTCTAGGTATATGTCTAGTGGGGAAGTTAGTTGTCTAGCTGATGGTGCTACCACGCACACCATATTGCGTGAGCGACACTATTTTACTAACTTTGTACCTATGAAAGCACCTCTGACAACTCTCTTAGGCCCATCCAACCTGATTGAAGGATATAGAAAGGCTTATATCACGTTGTCCAATGGTACCGTCTTAACCATTAAAGAGGCCTTCTATTCTCCACGTTTCGGAAAAACGTTGCTGAGTTTTAGAGATATTCGAGATAATCAATATCATATTGAAACCACTGAAGATAATGGCTCTGAATTTCTTTATATCACTTCGTACGAATATGGCCAGAAACGTATTCATGAGAAGTTGGAACGTCTTCCAAGTGGGTTGTACATCACAACCATTCGCGGCATAGAAGCCCACCATGTGGCTGGCCCTATGCCTGAGTTCCAGAGCACTTTGTTGCTTTGGCATGACCGTTTGGGACATCTCGGATGTGACATGCTGCGCCGTATCCTCAAATCATCACATGAGCATCAGTTACATCCTTACATTGGATTCCCGCCATGCAAAGCATGTTTTTTAAGGAAGTTGAATACTCAACCCTCGATTACAAAGATTATTCATGATCCTCATAAGTTTCTTCAGATGATTAAAGGGGATATTTGTGGACCTATCCAACCAACATATGGACCATTTATATACTTTACGTTGTTGGTTGATGCATTGACATGATGGTCACATGTTTGCCTGTTGTCCACACGCAATGCTACATTTGTGAAACTTCTAACACAAATTATTGTGCTAAGGGCTCACCACCCTGATTATCCGATCAAGTCGATTCGACTAGATAACGCTGGAGAGTTTACGTCATAGACTTTTGATGATTAATGCATGTCAATAAGGATTGAAGTGGAACATCCTGTACTCCATGTTCACACCCAAAACGGCATGGTAGAAGCTTTCATAAAATGCCTTCAATTGATTAGACTTTGGTTATGTGCACCAAACTGTCGGTATCTGCATAAGGTTATGCAATATTGCACGCAACTATGCTGGTCCGCCTAAAGCCCATTGTTACCCAACCTCATTCACCGTTACAGTTGGTTACTGGATACGAGCCTGATGTGTCACATTTACGTGTGTTTGGGTGCGCAGTTTATGTGCCAATATCGTCGCCACTACATACCAAAATGGGTCCTAAGAGAAAAATGGGAATTTATGTCGTTTATGATTCGCTATCAATTGTTCACTATTTAGAACCCTTGATAGGAGATTTCTTTACCATACATTTTGCGGATTGTCACTTTGATGAGATAGTCTTCCTGTTGTTAGGAGGAGATAAGCATGTTAACGTTCTTGGAGAACGCCGCTAATTGTCATGGTATGCTCCCACTATGTCTCATTTAAATCCTCGCATTGCTCAGTCTGAAACTGAGGTGCACCGAATTATAGATCTTCAGAGCATTGCTCAGAGCATGCCATATGCTTTTTCTGATCTAGCAAAGGTGACAAGATCACATATACCTGCTGCAAACGCACCTACAAGGATAAATGTATCCTCTGTATGTCACAATCCCGCCTAGGAATGCCAGACCGTCCCCAAGGGTGGGGATGCCGCACCTTCCACTCAGCCCGGTACATTGATGGCTAGCCAATCATCTGCTTTGACCCTGGAGCATGGCATACTCATTGGTTCAAATGATTCACAACCCCGGAAGAGGAAATCGACACTAACTAGTGACTCTAGTTTGAATTTGACCATCGCTCACTCATCTGTTCCAACGCATGATGTTATTTTAGATTACAATGATATCTTATACTAGACAAACCGGCCTCCCGAGAATCGCAAGATTTTGGTCCACTACACAGTATTGGATGAGGTTTGGAATCAGAATAAGATGATCGTTGATGATGCATTTGCGTACATAGTAGCTACTGACATCATGCTTAGCGATGACATTGAATCACGTTCCGTTGATGAATGCTAACGTAGAACAGATTGGTCAAATTGGAAACAAGCAATCCAAGTTAAACTCGATTCGCTTGCGAAACGTAAGGTGTTTGGACCTACTATTCCTACACCACCACGCATGAAGCTCGTGGGCTACAAGCAAGTTTTCGTGAGGAAGCATAATGAGAATAATGAAATAGTGTGGTACAAAGCACGCCTCATAGCGCAAAGCTTCTCTCAGCGCCCTGGGACTATTCTACCATATTGGATGTCATAACGTTTCGTTACCTTATCAGTTTAGTAGTTTCTGAAAAACTGAATATGCAGCATATGGATGTGATAACCACGTATCTCTATGGGGATCTAAATATGGAAATCTACATGAAGGTTCCATAAGGACTTCCATTAAAATAGTTCTAGACCACGGAACACTCTCTCTGTTAGATTGAAGAGGTCACTCTATGAATTGAAACAATCCGAGCGGATGCGGTATAACCGTCTGAATGAATATTTGACAAGTCAGAGTTAAGTGAACAACGAATTATACCCCTGTATGTTCATAAAGAAGTCACATTCCGGATTTACTATCGTTGCAGCTTATATCGATGACATGAACCTCATTGGAACTCCCGCAGAGCTTGAGGGAATTGCCGCGCACTTGAAATCAAAATTTGAGATGAAAGATCTTGGGAAAACTTGATATTGTCTCAGCTTGGAGATCAAGCATTGTTCGGATGGAATTCTAGTACCTCAATCGAACTACACCCATAAGGTGTTGCGATGTTTTAATGAGGATAAAACAAAACCTTCAAGTACACCTATGGTTGTTCGAACTCTAGATGCTAAACGAGATCCCTTTCGTCCAAAGGAGGAAGAGGAAGAGATTTTGGAACCTGAAGTTCCATATCTAAGTGCAATTGGGGCTTTATTGTACTTGGCTCAGTACACTAGACCCGACATCTCATTCGCTGTTAATTTTTTGGCTAGATACAGCAATACGCCTACACACAGGCACTGGAATGGTGTTAAAGACATTTTCCGCTATCTTAAAGGTACGACGAATTTGGGCTTGTTCTATAACCGCGAATCTTCGAGTGTTGCCGCCCCATTCGGTTCTCGGATTGATTCTCACCTTATTGGTTACGCAGATGTTGGATATATGTCTGACCTACATAGGGCAAGTTCTCAAGCGGGTTATGTCTTTACCATTAGAGACGCCGTTATATCTTGGAGGTCTACCAAACAAACACTAGTTGAGACTTCTTTAAACCATGCTGAGATTCTCACCCTGCATGAAGTATCGCGTGAGTGTTTTTGGTTAAGAGCAGTCATGGAACATATTCGAAGAACTAGTGGTCTTACTTCCGTCGTTGACCTTCCTATAACAATCTTTGAAGACAATGCAACATGTATCGAGCAGTTAAAGAAGGGATACATCAAGGGAAACAACACCAAGCACATAACGCTAAAGTTTCCTTATTCTCACCAGCAATAACAGCATCAAAACATTGAAGTCAAGCAAATCCGTTCCTAGGACAACATGGCCAATCTCTTCACCGAGTCATTGCCCAAGTTTACTTTTCAGAAGCTCGTCCAAGGAATTGGTATGCGTAAATTATATAAGTTGAATCACTTGTAGTTCTCTTATTTGGAAATTATGTTTAACTTAGGGGGAGTATCCAGAAGCATACTCACTTGATATTCATGTACTCTTTTTCCTACGATTATGAGCATTTTTCTCATTGGGTTTTTGCTACCTAATGAGGTTTTAACGAGGCACCCATCCTCAAATGATCATACTCCATTGAGTTCACTACTTTCGTCCTATTTGATGTTGGTTTTCTTTTCTCCTTAGTCTATGGGTTTTACCATAATGAGGTTTTGTGAGTTTTACTACCAATGCATACTTTCTTAAATTTGAAACTCGCATTCGCCCGTTGAGCCGCCGACTTCATCAACTATTCTACCTTATCTGCTGAAGATCTGATGTGATGGTTTGTTAAGTATTTACACACTCAAGGGGGAGTGTTGCAGTCATATTTAGAATATGAATGTGATTATGTAAATCCTAGTATACCTAGGGATATCTTTTATATTCCTTTTAGTAGTCTAATTCCTATTAGAGTTGTAATCCTAAAAGGGTAAGAATTTAACATATCCTACTACTATAAATAAAGGCACAATGAGATGATACAACACAACACCTCATAATCAAATCTCTCACTTCTCTCTCTCCCTACCGTCGGCCTCCCTCTCTCTATTCCCTTAGAATAGCTTAGTTAAATAGGCATACAACAATTTTATTTTATTGTTGGATTTGGCTTATAGTTTTATAGACGATGATAATATGCTGAAGAAAAAATATAAATAAATTTTAGTGGAAATATTTTTTCTCTACTCTCAAGGGATGGTAGTGTTCACCGTCTTACTTATTATTGTTGAATGCGTCTAAATTTCAAAATCTGTACAGTCGATAGACACAAATATCAAAATTTAAACTCATACAATAGTAACAAGTAAAGTGGTAAGCATTAGCATCTCTTGAAAATGGTGAGCATTACCACTACTGGGGATGGCATGCAACAACGCACCCAATTTCAATATTTTTGTCTATTTTCTGCTTGGTCTGAAGAATTGGAAATTTATTGCTAAAAAATCTGTGGCATCAGAATCCCGTGCAAGCATTCAACAAGTTTTGCAAAACTTTCAGTGTCGAAATCTCCCAAACATTCATGAAAATGGGGAAAACCACAGAAATTTAAACAGTTATGTCTACATGTACTCGAAAAATGTAAGAAATCTCCAAAGTACACAACTTTGCCAAACCATTCAAGTGATGAATTTCTCTTTTTCTTACGTATGTACACCAGGGACTGCCAAGCCTCCGAGGAAGGAGACCATAATCCGATGACCATAGATTCGCACCACCACTAACATAGGGCTCGTATTGTCAGAAAATCAGCTTATTCATACCCGAAATGGGCACTCAAACACATCTTAGGTCTAACATTGACTAATCTCAGCAGTCACCACATAGACACAACCAGATAAATCGAAAATTTGAAAATATAACCTATCGTCCCAAATTCCCCAAAAGCCGCTCCACTGCTGCATGTACATTTCCTGCAGTGGCCATCAGAGCCCGTATGTTCTCTTGTCGATCAAAGAAACCCATCTCCTGAAGTTGTGAAAGCTGTGCAGCATAAAGTTCTTCAGGTGGCACTGAAATACACAGGATAGAATTAGTACAAAACAAACAAAAGATATCCTTCTATGAGAAATGTAAGGTAAGTAATAACCATCAGGCCGATTGGGAACAGCCAGGTTGCCAGTGCCAAGCCCGCCAAACATATTCATCAGCGCGTCTAACCCCATGTTATTTAATATTCCTGTTTCAACGAAAGCATTAACATGCAACCAGTTACCGCAATGAATATCCTTAAAACAGAATGTGCACATGTTTCTACTCTTTTAGCTTAGGCAAGTGACTGGGTTTTCAAAACAAAGGGCTTGTTACCATAACCTTTTTCATTTTCCGACATGTTTTTCATTCATTGAAAATTAGAAACGATAACCCAATCTGTTCCAAACTTTCACCAAAACCTTAGTACCAATAGTTTGAAATGAAGAAAAATAAAATGGTATCGACTAGGATACCTGTGTTTGCACCAGTCTGACCTGGTTCCCTGCAAGAAAACACGGATGCAGTACTACTCTATGAGAAAAAACCAGTAATTACAGCTGATCAACACAAGCAATGCGAAAACAAAATCCTAACGATTGAACATGCACAATTATTTCTTATTTCCAATAGGAGTTGATTCAATGACCCCGTGCCAATATTTCTAAACTAGTGACTGCATTTAGCAATGTCCAACCAGTGAACCAATGACCATTGCCCACCTTGTTTAACGACGAAACCAAGCCAGGACAAACCAAACGACAGTAGCAATACAACGCTTAGTAAAGGAAGAAATAAAATAGTCTAACTGAACTGGCCAAGAACTCTTGACATACAGTTTCAAACTTCAATCGAGTTGCATAATTAATACGTAGTGATCAATATGGAATCCGCAAGCAGCTAAGGGAGAAATATCAATTCAGGCCATATCTATCAGACATATCAAAGAAAAAATTACTGTCACTTCTTACTGGGTTGACTGTTGCTGTTGCCGACCAAGTTGCGACAGAAGTGATTGCTGCAAAGTCAAGAGCATCTGCAAGATGAAAAGAAAAAACAAAGCCAATACAGAAGCAAAATTAAATGGTACCACTAATCATTAAGACATCCAACCTCACCCTCTTTACTCATGCAGACGTTAAGGACACTGTCTCCCAGATTATATTCATTAAGAATGACAATGATAAGAATTACCATTTATTCCTATTGACAAGATTTGACTGAATTCGGCAACTTAGACAAACAAAAACTTCAAAATTCAAAACCTTAGGCACCCTGAATAAATATACCTGCATAGTCTCAGGAGAAGCCAACTGACGAAGAAATTCTGGGTTTTGCATCATCTCTCTTAAATAAGAATTGGAGTCAAGCATGCTGCGTAACTGGGGGTTGGAACCTAGAATCTGCAGTCAAATAATGTTAAGAAAGAATAAATTTCATCCTCAACCTATTCTATTAAAAGAGAATAAAATAATACCTCGTTCATATACTCAGGATTAGAGAGGAGGCTTTGCATAATTTGAGAAACAGCTGGATTTTGCATCAATTGATTCAGTAAATTGCTATCCTGCGGCATGGCACCAAATGCTCCTTCTAACTCTGGGTAGCTAATTCCAGCTAGGCTACTTCTAGCTGTGCCAGACGGTGTCTGTAGCGTAGCATCCCCGAAAGGATTCGACCATGCGGTGTTAGTTTGACCAACACCAGCTGTTAAATTTGGATCTAGTCAACAACTGATTGGTTATGTATAACAGCAAAACGGGAACACAAAATATTGACCTTAACCAGAGGAAGTAAGGTTAACAAGTTTCATAAAATGTTTCACTGTATTGTGGCTAATATTGCTACAAACTGGCCGCTACTAATGTTATTTTAGAAAAGGCGAAACTAGCTCAACTATAAAAAGAGATGATGCATGCTAAGTAGTTTAAGTGGTATTATCTCTTACACTTCATGAAGGATGAGAAAATCCTAACACCTAATATCTAGTTCACGAGCCCAACTTGCCTTCAATAAAATAGAAGTGCTAGAAAAGGAGAACATTTTTCTTCCCCTTTAAACTTTGTGCCATTGACTGAAAGACAAATGCCACATCTCTATCCGGACAACATAGAATGAGATAAAAATAGATTATGCCATAAGATTGTGCACAACGTCCCAACACCATAAGGGACTCAAAGCAAACAAAGTTTAAGCTGTACTGCTCGAAAACGAAAATATTGCAGAATAGAAGCAAGTGAGCAGGAGCTTACTGCCAGCAGAGGACCATGGGTTAGGAAGTGGGTTAGTATTTGGAGCAGGAGAACCAGTTGCTGTATCAGAACTAACTGTTGATTGGTTAGTGGACTGAGCTCTGGTTTGGTTGCCACCTTCGGCCCCCAAAAGAGCTGCAAATGGGTTTGAACCGTCACTTCCAGCATCTCCAGCCATAGTTGTTGCATTCATAAACGGCTCTTGTACGTTCTCATACATGCGTCTGAGCATATTAAATCCCTCAGGAGTGGCTTCAATGTTGCTCATGGCTCTGTCAGTGTTGCGCATCATCTCACGCATAAGCTCAGGGTTTCTTGCTGCTTCAAGTGTCTGACGGAGGGTGCTAGGATCATTAAGCACGTGTGCTAGCTCAGGATTTCGATCAATAACTTCACGCATTTGAGGGTTGTTCATAATCAAGTTCCGCATTATGTCTGGGTTATTCATAATATTTTGAATGGCTGGCATGTTAATTATGTCTCTCATCACGTTAGGGTTCTGAGTCATTTGTTGCTGCATTTGGTCAAATTCAGGAAACCCAGCTCCGAATAGACCACCAGCACCACCCATTCCATTGCCATTAAGTCCAAGTCCAAGGGATGGCAAGGTTCCAAAACCAGACCCTCCTAGTGTCCCACTGCCTTCACTAGATCTAACACCCCTTCCTTGGGTAGAATTTGCAGCTCCAGCATTGGTTGCAACACCCGTGTTTGCTGAAGCACGAACCAAGTGAAGAGTGTGATCTGCCTCCAAACCTATTTAAATAAAAAATATAATTTACATTTGAGCAAGACTTATCTGAATAACAAGACATCTTTAAAGCTGTAAATGAATCCAATAATGCTCCAATATAAATCTTAACCTTCAGTTAACAAAGCAACCAAACTTAAATCATCATTTTCTACAAGAAACACAAATTCCCTTGCTGGGAGTTGTCGAATATCTAAGCAAATAACTTTAGAGCATGCACCCCAAGCAGCACTACCAACGACTACAAGAAAATAAAACAAGCAGGGTTCCCCCAGTGTTCTTTAAATAAGACACTTGCACCCGGAAACTTTGGGGCAAAGCTTCTTAGTCAAGAGCCCTTGAGGGGCAACCATATTATATGTCTATGAGATAACGAAGCTTTCTACTCCTACTGATGCCTGCCCTATTATTCGATAACGAAATCTCTCTGCTCCTAATGACACTTGCCCTCTATCGTTCAAGTTTTATGTCCTGCTTTCTCTAATTCTCTCAACCATAACATCAGAGTTAATTACCAAACGAACAAACCTAAAACTACACATTCCAGTCTCTGTACAATCCAAAATTCCAAACAGGATGAAGATTGAACTTCAGCTATACTACCGTGGTTGCAACTTTTTTCCCAGCTAGCTACATTACCGTGGCTGCAACTTTTTTACCGCTATAAGAGTAATCTGTAAATGCATCTACATTCAAAAGCAAAAACAACGAAAATGGATCCGCAAACACATTGATTCAATCACAACAGTAAAAATCCTTCTCAATTTTACCACAAAACAAACACCGTGAAAAAATTAAATAAAATTAAATAAGAACAATGTATAGCAATAAGAAATTATATAGTACCGTAGCTTTGGAGCGTTTGATCGTCCTTCAAGATCCGGCCCTTGTAAATCAGCCGCTGCTGATTGGCCGGAATGTCGCATTTCGGCGAGAGGACTTCCTTGAACGATCCAACGGTGGATTCGAGGCCAATCTGAACGGTGAACTTGGAGCCATTAGAGCACTTGACGTTGACGTTGACCTTGACTCCATGTCCGCCGTCGGATTGGGCAGCGTCGTCCACAGAACCCTCACTTCCTCCTCCCATAGCCGGAGGTGTCCGTACACTCAGGAATTGAGAGCAGAAAAGTCACTGATGGAAGAAGACGGATCAGAGCGGCAGTGGAAATCTCAGCGGAAGTAGCAGCGGACGAGAATTTGATGTACGGTTGGGGATTGGAGAGTGAGAGTGAGAGAGAGAGAGAGAGCTGATGAACGAATGCCAATGGGAGAAGGTAAAGAAAAATAAAGAAAATAGAATTTGATAACGAAATAAAATAATTATTTGGTGGAATCTGAGCCGTGACGTAGCCCACCTACGCCAAGGAAGGTATATATAAAACATGAATAATAAAATTAAAATAATCACACGTAGATTTCACAAATTGAAACCATATTTGGTCAATTTAGTCTTGTATTTTTAATTTGGTATCATTGTGTTTATTTTTTTAAGTAATTAAAGATTTTCCATGCAATCTCTAAAATTTATAAATTATAATAATTTTTTTATAAAATTATTTGATTTAAAATATTTAAAAAATAAATTAATTAAAAAATTAAAAAATTACTCACCCCCAAACTTCCCGACCATCTTCGATGTTCTCTCCTCTTCTAATTTTCTTCACCCCCTATCTTTTCTATGTCACAATCTTAATAATTTTCAGACCTTTTTATATGTGTTATTTCTCATTGATTTGCATTTTTCTATAAATTTAAATTTAAATAAAGAGAAATTAATGGCTCTCTCAATTGCTGTTTGTTTCTCGATTATACAGTCAGAGGCAAAGGGTTTGGGGTTAATTTTCTTGCGACGACAACGATGGAACTCACGTGGTGACATGTGGGATCGAGGTGGATCTAGAGATGAGTTTGTCGAGTTGCCTACACGTGTGGCTATGGTTGGGGTTTGGTTCACGGACAAGTCAGATAGCAAGATGCGTTTGTTTAATTTTTTTGTTTTTCTTTTTAAAATTATATTTTATTATTTTAATTGAAAATATTTTTCTATAATAGCTTATAATATTTCATACATTTTCTAACAAAAATTGGATGGCATGTCATTAATTGGCTAACATAAATAAACACGAGATTTCAATTGGTCAAATTGAAAACACGAAAACTAAATTAGCCAAATGACTATAACGCACACACCATTTTGACAACTTGATAAAATATTATTATCTGATCAGTTTGATTTGTGACTTTTGTTTTACAATGATTTTGTGATTAGCAAAACAAAATATTTTGAATTTTGTAATACTTTGATTCTCAATTAGGAAGAGTTTGTTTACAAAAATACGTATTTGAGAAAATAACAAGTGTTTTTTTTATCAATTAAGTTCACATCTCAAGTCGCGTACCCTTCCAATCTTTGTCTCTTATAAAATTATTAAGGGTAAATTATATATTAGTCCTTCAGGTTTGAGGTCTATTACAACCCCATACAACAACTTTAAAACATTTCACTTTCATACATCCAGTACCATTTTATTTCAAAATAACACCTCCGTTAGATTTTTCATCCATTAGTCTGTTAAATGCTGACGTGACTACCACATTTGTGCTGATGTGGCTGCCATGTGGAAAAAAAATAGTTTTTATACATTAAAAATATTATAATATTAACCCAATTAAAAAAAAACATAAAAACCCTAACCCATATCTCATTTCTTCCCCCTCTCCTCTCTGCAATCCCTCCCCACTATCCCTTATCCACCCCCCAGCGACCTCCCCCCAAACGACCCATATCCCTATCCCTAACCTAGAACCTAAAACCTGCAACAACAAGAAGAAGAAGAGGAGGAGACGGGAGGGAAACCCCCCCCCCCCCGAAAACCTGCAAGAAGAAGAAGAAGAGGGAGAAAAAAAGAGAAAAAAAAAAAAAAAAAAGCCCAGTTCATGGGAAGGTCGCAGTACCACTTCATAGCGTAGGTTACCGATCATCGTCTACACTATAAAAGAGGGGTTCAAAACATGTTCTAGCATCCTATCGTCATCTGTCAGATAGTCTACCAGTTTATGGTTCTTATAGAAAATACGATATATTAAAATATAGCTCAATATAGGCTAACAATTAATTCCTCACCAAAACACGAGACGAAAATCAATATATTAAATCATCAGGCTCCACATAAATCAAATCATAAATCCGTAGGCATGCTAATCATTTATACAATTAAATTATCAAATCATGTAATTTTAGAAGGGGTCCATTCACAAATATTCCTTAGCAGAAGAATCGCGCGAATCAGGATTACGAATTTCCTTAATAGCAACTTTACCTAAGCACAAAAATATAATTAATAAATAAAAGGATTTTCTAAAATATTGGGTTTGAAATAAATAAAATAGGGGATTTGGGATTGGATGGATTTAGGTTTTTAAAGGATTTTTAGGAACCTAGGGTTTTAAATGGATATTAGAAATTCTAAGGTTTTGGGTTAAAATAGGTTTACAGAAAATGGCCCAAAGGGCCCTAATTCTAAAACAGAAAAATAAATAAAACCTTAAAAGGTTTTTGGGTTGGGTCACGGGCCACATGCCCTAAAGGGAGGGGGGAATGGAAGTGGGTCGCAGGTCGCAGCGGAGCGGGGGGAAAGAAGGTGGGTCGTGGGTCGCGGCAGGGCTGAGAGGGTTTCTTTTTTTTCTTCTTCCTCCCTCTTTTTCTTCTTCTTCTTTTTGTTGTTGCAGGTATGTGGGTCGCTTAGGGGGGGTGAGGTCGTTGGGGGGAGGTGGGTAAGGGATAGTGGGAAAGGATTGCAGAGAGGAGAGGGGGAAGAAAGGAGATATGGGTTCAGAGGGTGTGTAGAAAATGAAAGAGGGTGGGTGCGGAGGGAGGGAGGGTCGCAGGTTAGGGGGTGCATAGGAAGGGTCGCGGGTGGGGGGGTGTTCTGGGTTTTTGGTTTTGGGGTGGGGGACGCGGGTGGAGTGGGGTGGGGGGTTACCATTTATGGGTTGCAGGGAAGAAAATGAAGATGGGGGATATGGGTTTGGGGGTTGTGGGGAGAATAGAGGATTTTGGGAGTTGCAGAAGGGTTGGGGGGGGGGGGAAGGAAGGGATCTGGGTTTCGGGATTTTCTAGTTTTTTTTTTAATTTTTTTAATTGGGTTAATATTATAATATTTTTAATGTATAAATTTTTTTTTTTCCACGTGGCAGCCACATCAACACAAATGTGATAGCCACGTCAGCATTTAACAGACTAATGGATGAAAAATCTAATGAAGATGTTATTTTGAAATAAAATGGTACTTAATGTATGAAAGTGAAATGTTTTAAATTTGTTGTATGGGGTTGTAATTTGCCCTCAAACCTGAAGAGCTACTATGTAATTTACCCAATTATTAATTTTTAACAATGTGGGATAGATCTATGAGTCAAGATTTCATTTACACCTTAAATCATTCGCATCTTTTTTAATTTCGTCTTTTATAAAATTACTGATTGTGTACAATGTTTATCGACACGAGTCAGGACCTCGTGTCTTCGTATAATGCTCGTCCTTATTTTTTTGTTAATAATGTTCGTCCATTTAAAGTTACTGATATAACCCAAAGTATTTACCATTTTTTTTTTCTAACCTAAATTGGTTGCTAATATGTGATGGTATATGTGTGGGTGTGACATGCAGGCTTGGAAAAGGAAAAACAAAAGCAAAATTAAGGCAAGTAAAGCATTTTTTGTGTGTATAAAATTTAGAGTAATGCTATTCATACCATGTATTTGTACTATATTTTTATACCACCTTAATGGCATTTGATATGGACAGTGAATTAATTAGATTTTTAAATTTAGTTCATTATTTAATAAAATAATAATTAAGAAAAACTAGTTAATTAAATGATGATTGTGGCATATGATGAGTCTTTCTTTTTCATTTCCTCGAGTTTTACAAATTTTTCAAATTTTTCAAATGTCACCTAAGACCATCTCCAACCCTTGGGCTAAAAGCCAAATTTTTTAGCCCAGAAATATCTTTTCTGCTCTAACCCTTCTAGCCTAAAATTTTAGCCCGGAATTATTAAAGAATGAACTAAGGCTAATTTTTTTCTTAAATCAAATTAAAATAAATAAATAAATATGTAGATTAGTGTAAATTAATTTTATGAACATTTTAATCTAAAAAAATTTAAATTCCGATAAATATTGAAAAATCATTAAATTTTTCACAAAGCAAGCTTTCAACTTTCACCAACCTTAATTAATAAGACATAAATTTAATAAAGTACATAAACCACATAATAAACAACATAAACTTAATACAAACGACAATTAATAAACTTAATTAATAAAGCACATAAGTATTTATTGAGTTTTGTGTGGATGTTTGAACAAATACATAGGTATTTATAGAGTTTTTGGGTAAATTTTATGTTAAATAAATTTATTTAATTATTTTAGCCGTTGGATTTTAATTTGGGCCGTTAGATCTTTTTTTTTACCGTTAAATTTGAGTATATTCAATCTTAACCGTTTGATTCAATGTATTTTTAAAATAACATATTTTTTTTAAATGAAATTTGAATCTGGACCGTTGGATCAACCAACGGTCCTTAAAAGATGGCCGTCAGATACGGAAAAGAGCCGTTGGGCTCGGGCAAGTGGGCGACATGACCCTGACGCTGGGGTCCCATGCTGTCGGGACATGATGGCAACCAACCAGCGTGGGGAGCGTCCGCAAGTGACCGGGTCGAGACTGGCCCAAAATCAGGCGAGTCCACGCGTGTTTGGGGGGAATTTGGCTCAACTTTAGCATTTGGCTTTTAGCCTAATGTTTTAGCTTGGGTTGGGTGGTGTTTGGGGGGAAATTTGGCAAATAGCCCAGGGTTGGAGTTGGTCTAAGGTGGTATAAAAACATGGTACAAAAAAATTACTCTAAAATTTAAAATGGGACCCGCTCAAAAACAACAGTGGAAGGTGAGGCGGTGACTGCAAACGGTCACAGGTAGGTGGCCTTATCGCTAGGGGTTAATATGAAAAGCCAAAAAAAAATTGGTGCTGCTGCTGCAACGTACAAAAAGGTGCCAGAAAGCGCGCCATGATATTCATCTTTCATGGCGATAATATCTCCGCGAGGCTCCAACAAGTTCTTGCTATCTCGCCTCGGAGCCCTAATCAAGCAACAGGTCTGTCTTTCTCTCTCTCTCTCTCTCTCTCTCTCTCTAACCTTTTATTTTCATTGAGGCATTTCGTCGAACAGTTGGTGACTGGTTTTTTCCTAATACGCAGAGACTCATCAACGCATTCTCTGAGGG